TTTAAAAAAAATAAAAATATCCTTGATGGAAGGTCTTCAGTTTTGCAGTTAATCTGATGACAATCTGACATCAATAAGTATCACTGGTTTCTATTACATCACAAGAGCTGGCAATTTGGCTCACTCACACCACAACTGTGTATTCATGCATCATCTGCAGAATCTCGAGCATTTCTTGAACGTCCATTTGATGTAATTGATTCGTTCTCAGAGGTCTGGAAAATGTGCAAAAACAATGATTATTATTAACAGTACCCTTATAACAGGAAAATTTTTTTAGATTTTCATGGGGAATGTGGGCCAGGGCCAAGGATAGTTTATCTATCCTGCTATATAGTTGGTTGTGTAAAATAAATAAATGACAGAGCTGTCACGATGATCGTACCCATTGTCTCTTGCTGAATTTCTACCTTGTACGAAGGGTTGTCATATGCCGATTGACTCTTTCGACAAGTAGAGATGGCCGCTTTGCTCTGGGCACACTTTTTCATTAGTAAGAGTGTAAGGATGAGTGAGGTGAGGATGGCCAGTGTGGCTATGATGGCGACCGCCACCAGAGGCCCGTAGTAGTCTGACACCTCGGCCAGGGGCGTGCCCTCGAGCTTGCCTGCAATCAAAGGATGGTGGGGGTGAGGACCAGTCGGCGCCTGGCGAGTAGGCAGCCCATTGCACTGCCGCGCGGGGGCTACTGCCCGCTTGCCTACCTTGCTGCGTTGAGCCGGCGGCTGTCGGTGCGGACCCAGGCTTGGTGATGAAGTCCTGTACGTTGCTCTTCTTGATCCTGCCGTTGGTCAAGTACGCCTCCAGCCATAGTCGATACCTAAGGAAAGCCAGAACAGGAATGAAACTCGTGCTTCTCCGGCCGAGCTGTGCGAGTGTAGGAGTCGACGCGTTACCTTGTACCCGGCTTGAGGTCCTGGATCATAGTTTTTGGAGGAGAGTCTCGCTTGGCGATCTTGAACGAACTGAAGTCCTCCTTGCCCGCGTCGCTCTGGTAGATGGCGCGGAAGATGTTGACGAACTTGTCCTCCGGGTAAGGGACGCCCTGCCAGCTCAGCTCCACGGACGTGGACTTGATGTGGTGGACGTCCAGCGTCAGCTCGAACTTGTACGGGTCTGAGTGAAACAAAGCAGAGGTGTTGAACGGGAGGATTCGAAGGTGTGGACGGACAAGTGTGCATTGGAGGATGGCCTCACCGTTCTCGATGCCTGTGGTGAAGGTGACGGTCCTCTCCGACAGCAGCTCGGTGGTCTGGCCCGTGAAGGGTATGAAGTAGATGCCCACCTCGTACTGCGTGTCGGGCCGCAGTCCCTCCAGCGTGTAGCTCGTCACGGCCCGGTGGATCAGCGGCGTGGCTGCGTACACCTGCGGGCAGCGAGAGAGGCATGTCACGGGGGCCTGCGGGCGCGTGTGTGCGGGGGGCGGGGAGAGAGAGGGGGGGCACTTACCTTGCCGTCGATCTCCTTGTACCGGAGCTGCACGCCGTCGATGAAGTTGATCTCGAAGGGCGTCGCCTTCCTCCAGGTGAGGCGCGCCCAGCTGGCGTTCACCTCGGCGACGGTCAGCTCGGCGTCGACGGGAATCTGCGGGGGCTGCGTCGTGGCGGGGGCGGCTGGAAAGGCAAGCGACGGTTTAAGGTTTCTCCTGGCTTCCGAAACAGCGGGGTGAGAAATAATGAGGGCCTATCTGCTTACATCTCGGCAGGGTGCGCACTTTGAGCACCTTGCTGGACGGTGTGTTGTGGAGGTCGCGCAGGATGACGGTGATCTTGATCTTGTACACGGTCTCGGCCTGCAGCCCGCCCAGCTCGAACTCGAGCTGCGGCGTGGCGATCAGGTCGTTGGGTGGCGCCAGCACCTGCTGCTCCCACGTGGCGGGCTCGTCATTTCTGTCGTGGGAAAATGCGGTTTTAGCAACTGCTTTCCACCTTCCCTTGTTGATTCACCCCACATGGCCCTGTACTTACTGCACATCCGAAGTGTATCTGAGTTCGACACGGCCGTGCAGGCCGACGAGCACAGGGGGCACCGAGAACACGAGGCGGACTGTGCTCTCGTCCACGGCCTCGAGTGTCTGCACCGTCACCTCGTCTGGGAACATGAAAGGGTCGTGAAAGACCGTCGTCGGGCTCGAGTTGCAAAAGAGTGTCAACAGACACTAAATAGAAGGCTACTGGCTACTCTTACCTTGCCGACCAATGCCTGGATGCTGGGGGAAGCCGGGCGGCAGCGGACCCTCGGGGAAGCCTGCGGGCAGAGATGGAGAGGGCGATGCGTTAGGCGGGGCTGATCGTGCGAGGCGAGCAGGGGCATGCGAGACACGACAGCCAGCACACAAAAGGGCGGGAGACCGTGAGGCGACATGCTGCTGGACCAACCTGGTGAGTAGGAGTGGTTGCCAAGCAACTGAGCAAGCTGTTGCTGGAGTTGTGCTGGGTGTCGGGACGTCTCTGTCGCGAGGTCGTCTTCGTGCTCGTGTCCAAGTCCTTGTCCGTGCTGGGGCGGGAAGGGGAGGGGAAGGGGGTGCGCGGGGGGCTGCTGCTGCTGTTGCTTGTTGGGCCGGAGGGCGCCGGCCTCGCGTAGGTGCGCGATGATCTGCTCGTGCAGTCCCGGGGGCACTCCCTGGGGCACGCCGGGGTGCTGGCCCTGAGGTCCCTGTGGCACGTCCACGTGGTACACCTTGTCGCCCTGCAGGCCGTGCAGTCCCTGCTGGTTGTGGAGGAGGTACACGTCGGTGCCGCCCTGCGGTACGCCTTGCGGTCCGCCGTGAGAAACGCCCTGGGGCGCGCCCTGCTGGATGACTTGAACGCCGTCCTGGCCGTGCACGTGCTGCAGGTACAGGAGGTCCTCCTGGGTTGGATGCCGCTGTCCCGACGGCGTGCCCCGATGCGGCGGCAGCCCCTGCGGCGGCACACCCCCTCGGGGCGGTAGGTCTTGGTACGGCGGCACGCCCTGGTGGTACGGCGGCACGCCCTGGTGTGACGGGATGCCCTGGGGCACGTTGTGCGGCACCACCGCGATGATCTGGTACTCTGGGTTCTTCTTGTCGGGCGACAGAGGGAAGTAGGGGCCAGCGTGTCCGTGGATCTGCTGCTGGTGGAAGTGCTGCTCCTCTTCGCCGTTGTCCTCGTAGTCGTGGTCGGAGGGTTCGCCGCGCACGCCTTGGGGCCCGGGACCTTGCGGTCCGGGGCCGACGGGGACGGGGATGTGGATGCCGGGCGGAGGCGGGGCGCCCGACGCGGGCCGCTTGACGGGCTTGGGCGGCTGCTGCTGCTCCACTTCGGGGACCTTGTGCGGCGTGCTGTTCTCGTTGTCGTCGTCGTCGATCCGGAAGGGCCCAATGTAGTGCGTCTTGTGGGGCTTGCCCTTGGCGGGCGGAGAAGGCGTCGGGGCGAAGGGTCCGGGGAAGGCAGATTGCGGGGCTTTGGGTGGCGCGAAGGGTCCGGGGAAGGGCGCGTTGGAAGTAGGAGGGGGAC